TTTGCCCGCCATATACCTGTTTGCCATTGTTTTGACCCTGCCTGTGTACTACGTCTCTTTAATAAAGCCTGCAGATGGATCCACACATCTCACGTCTCGTCAGCCCCGTTACAATCATAAGATCTTATAATCTTTGTCTTTCCATACACAATATCCTAAGATCTTATAATCTTTGAAAAACAAAATGAGCGTGACATTGTTTTATACAACGGATCAATAAACAAAAAGTTAATAGTGATTAACTTACATTTTAGGTACAATATTGTCGGTTACATTGTTTTTGTTTCGGCGAATGACAATATTCACTAAAAATTTACCGTTGTGTGTTTCTGAGCAACAAACATACATTGACCTTTTGTTGCTTAAAGGGGTCATTCCTTTCTCTTTGGAGTGTTACAAGCTCTTGGTGCATAAAGAAGATCTGTAAGGTTGCAAAGACTAAAGTCTCAAATCCAAAGAGATATTCTTTCTAAAAGTTAAGAGTCAGCCACACCTACCTAAAACGGCTCATTCTAACACGCCCCCACATGTCTACATCACTATGTGGGAAGATTTGCATAACGCCGCCCAAATGTTCACACAGAGAAAGAAGGCGTAACTTTTATTCTCGCTGTAGTATTGTTGCCGCCGCCGCCATGTTGTGGATATGCTGTGTGTTTCATTGTGAAAGTGAAACTACTTTGTTTGACCTTCCAAAAGAGGACGATATCAGCTTTGTCATGCCTAGAGTTGATCCGTGCTGGTCGCTGAGGAAAAACATCAACTTCGTCAATCACCGGATCGGCTTTTACTGTGGACAAAGCGGAGTCCAGCCCGGGGTCGTCACATGGGGTTGCCGCAAGCCTCCTTTGTCGAATTTGCCACTGATGATTCAAACACGAGTATGAGCAGTGTAGAGTAGTGCTTATTGTTTGTCATTTCTCCGATCACAAATGCAGACATGGTTTTATGTTTACGCGGCGCAATACGCAACGCAAAGCGTAAAAACACAGTATAAGTCATTACAATCAGTAATTATGTCCACACTGGATGCAACAAATGCCTCGTTTGTAATGGGTTTTATTGGTTTTGTCTTGTCGCACTGGGACACATGGAAACCATAGACTGTATGATGGTAACACAGTATGGTAAGGGGCGTAACATTTCTGTCACACGGTTGAGGTATTCAGCCAATCACACTGGATAGCTGGCCAATCAGAGCACACCTCGCTTAAAAAATCGATGCGTTTCAGAAAGGCGGGGCATAGAAGAGAAACAATAATGTACAGTATGTTGAAAATAATGTGTTTTTTTAACCTTAAACCACTAAACTAATTTCATTACACCAAATACACAAAATAATGTTCTTTTTAGCAGCATCATATGACCCCTTTAATGTGTTTTTGGACGAATTGGTTGAATAAATGATTCAATGACTCATTCATAAAGACAAGTCACTTGTTCCATTTCTAAATGAATCAGTGCTTTGAACGAGTCGGCCGAATGAATGATTAGGCGATTCTCATTTGTAAGTCCTGTTGGATAAAAGCGTCTGCTAAATGACTAAATGTAAATGTAAATGATTCGCTCATAAAAATGGTCATCTGCAGGCACCTACTGGCTGAACTAATGAACAAATTGACAAAAAATATGAACACTGAAGAAGGTATCCAAGTCACTTTGTAACTTGGCAGTGCACTCTTGCCTTTTTGCTTGTACCAGCCTAGCAACCAAACAGAACAACCTAACAACTATCCAAAACCCCCTGCACAGCAACTCATTAAAAACACTGCATGCTGCATTCGGCCAACTTAAGTCGAATGTCCAGCTGCATAACACATCATGAGAAATGAGGAGACACACCACATGATCTCAAAAGCAAAATATCTGCCAGTGTGACTCATCCTCGCCTTCAAAGCAAGAAAATCAGTAACTCTTTTGGTTTGGATCTTGGATCCCCTATTTCATCATCGTCACTTGTGATGTAGGTCAGAATGTAGGACAGGACAAGAGAAAAATTTTTCTTATGTAAGGCTTATGTATAATTTTTTGAGCCTTGGGTGTTTGTGACATTTGAAAGAACAGCAGAAGCCTCTGGTGGTTGGGGATGTGAGGTGAGAACTGTGCCGTTCCTGTGTGACTTTGAGGATGCATGGTTTAATTCAGCAGACAAAGACAGCTGGTGCATTGTGCAAAGTTAAAAAGAAGCTTCTGAAGAGTCTAGATTCTCTAGACTGAATCTAGGCTAAGTAAAAAATGCATTGTTTTAGCACTGCTAAAACAGCTGCTAAAACAAAAGCATTCTAACTTCATTAATTTGTTTAAATGATTCAGAACAATAGTTAATTATCTTACTTGCATTTTAAAGCTTCCACTATGAAAACAACTGACCTGGCCACAAGACGGACATTGCAATAATATTACAATATTAATGAATAAAGTTAGTTTAGTTTAGAATATAACTTGTTTTTGTCTATTTTACACACAGAATAAAGATTCTTTATAAGCCTCTATGATTCCATGATGAACCTTTAATATCCAAAGAACCAAAAACAAGAACCAACTGGACAATTTTTTTTAATAGTGGAAAAAGATTGTCAGATTATTAAAATGTACTTCACACTAATAAGAAAAAAATTATTCTTTTAAAAACTGTTAACTGAAAGGTTATTTGGGAAACCAAAAATAGTCCATATGGCATCACCGGAAAAAAAAAATAAAAAAAAATAAATTGGAACCTTGCATATTTTTAAGAGTGCATTCTTTCTAATCTAACTCACTGGTCTTCTGAGTAATGTTTTCATTTTCTTGCTTGAACGGGAGACTCCTCAGCTATCAAAATGTTTATATTCACCATAAAACTTTACACTGAAATCCCACAAGTCAATTTTTAAATAGTTTTCTACAGTACCTTTTTGAATTGCAAGATGGCGCCAGTGACCTTGTGTTGGTATAAAAAGTAGACATGGAAGTACCACAGCTTTGTTGCCAACATATGCATAATGCATACTTCCCAACTATATAGGCTAATATACGTCAAATAAATTAAACATCTGAATATTCAATAGGTAAAAAAAAAAATACCCTGATGACCTGCATCCAAGGAGATTCTAATGTGTGCCACCATTCCCCCAAATATTCAATGAGACTATGACAGTCGAAATGCTGAATTATGGAAAATGTCGGAAATCTGTGTGCTTTGATACCAAGAAAGTTCTTTTTTTGTCAATAACTGTACATTTAACGCCAATATAAATTGTATTTTTGAAGTTGGTTGAATTAGACCTAAATCACAGGTCAAATTAAGAACAACAGCAATGGAGGGTGTAGTTGTAGATTATGCCTGGGAATGCATTTATACTACACAATTTAGTACACACTCTATAGAACAGGGATCCTCAAATCTGGCCCACGAGATCCACTTTCCTGCAGAGTTCAGCTCTAACCCTAATCAAACACACCTGAGCATGCTAATCAATGTCTTCAGGATCATTAGAAAATCACAGGTAGCTGAGTTTGATCAGGGTTGGAGCTAAACTCTGCAGCGCATTGGACCTCCAGGGCAAGATTTGAGGAACCCTGCTATAGAACTTTAGTTCCAGCTATAGGCCTAAGGCAGGGGTAGGCAAGTTCGGTCTTAGAGAGCCACAATCCTGCAGAGTTCAGCTCCAACCCTGAAAACAAAACTCACCTGCCTATAGCCTTAGTAATCCTGAAGACATTGATTAGCTTGTTCATGTGTGTTTGATTAGGGTTGGAGCTGAACTCTGCAGGACTGCGGCTCGACCGAACTTGCCTACCCCTGGCCAAACAATAGGCCAGGGTTCCTTAAATCTTACCCTGGAGGTCCAATGCGCTGCAGAGTTTAGCTCCAACCCTGATCAAACTCAGCTACCTGTGATTTTCTAATGATCCTGAAGACATTGATTAGCATGCTCAGGTGTGTTTGATTAGGGTTAGAGCTAAACTCTGCAGGAAAGTGGATCTGTGGGCCAGATTTGCGGATCCCTGCAATAGGCTATGTGACAGTGTCATTGACCAATCAGAATTAAGTGAGCAATGTCAATCACATGTGTTGAATCAATGAATGCAGTCTTAAGTGGATATTTTGGAAATAAAACATGTAATTCATGAAACATATGTCAGAATGAGTCACTCCAGTCCTAACTCGGCAAATCTTTATCCCTCTCAGATTTTCTCCGGCTCCTACACCGCTGTTGTGACTTGCATTGTGCTGCCATCTGCTGAGCGATTAGACAAAATGCCTACACGGAAGTGAGACGCCAAGTTTCTAACCTCATTTGTATTAGCTAGACACTATAACAATGCTGCGTTTATAAATGACTAGTCATTAATTAACTTTAAATCACAGACCGTGTTCAAAGAACATAGCTACGTTTATCGCTTCAGATATCATAGCTGTGGTGAGTCAGCTTGTATTTTCGCTTATCACAATAACGTGGCCATATTCTTGAACAACCTATGTTGATGTTTTCTTTATGAGTGTAGTAAAATACTATAGTACTTGAGGACAATATAAACTATATATAGTAGCCTACTTGAGTCACGCACATCTATATATGGGCTCAAAAAGTCTAACACCACCACATGATTCTTTTTTTTTAGCATTCTTTATAATTAAGCACAGCTTTTCCATTTCAAATTGTATTATCAACAATAATTTGAATGAAAAGTTCATCTTATATTGGAGTATACTAATTTCATACATTTTCTTTTTTTCAAGAGTCAAGTCACCATCAGACTTTTTTTTATTTTTATTGAAAACCCTAAATGTATGAATAATATCAATGTAGTCTTAGACTTTTGGGCCTCATGCTATGTGCAACGTAAGCATGATTAAGGCACTAATATCAAAACCCCCAGTATTAACACTGAATTTTGAATATGGTCTTTGAAGTAATACCATATTATATGAATGATGGTGATCCACAGAATTGATACAAAACAAAAAAAGTGCATACAAACCAGAGATGACAAGAACAGACATATGAAATAATCTTATGCCAAAACACCATGTTTATTAGACACCAAACTCTCTGAACAATCAGAGTTATTAAAAACACTTCGTTGCGAAGCATACGCAGTTTACACAGAGTGGGGGAAAAAAACATGAGAACTCCACACTGGAATCAAAAAGCACCACGGTGTCATTGTGTTGTGTTCACATCCCCCTTGTATAACACATTTACCCACACACATGTGAGTTTGATCTGATTTTCTCTTCGAGAAGGAGTGTTGGCCTTGCTCCTCGCATGGAAATCAAAGAGACAGAGAACAAGGGCCCTGCACACAGGGCCAGTTTGAAATCAAAATAGTGATATCTCGGTATCCAAACATAGTTAAACAAAAAGTGTGACTCGTAGCCTGATCTAGGCAAGGACTGCAAACCAGCAGCCCGAGCACATCTACATTGTAAACAAAGCAGTTGAGCATTTCTTGTTTGCTACTGACACACAGTGCTGAACTCCAGCAAACCAAAACATGATGCACCATTCTAGGACAAACCAACCAGAGGCTAGTTAATACTATAATAAAATGCATTGCTATAAACCACAAGATTTTTTGCATCACATTTGCATTTCAATCCGAACACTGAGATTTAAAAATGGGTGAATAAGGTAGGGTCACGTTGAAAAGAGTCCAGAAGAGTCCAAATACATAACGTTTCCATCTCAGCAATATACAATAGAAAAATCAAAAGGGTGTGATTTCAAAGTTTGTAAAACCAACGTATGACAATGAGCTCTGAAAACGTCAGGAGCTCACTTGTTCAAGTCAGTCTACAGATGTGGATATGTCGTGCTCCGTTGGTTCCGAGGAAAACTGAAGTCGTCTGACCGCTTCCTTGATCAGATTCCCCGACAATATGAGCTCCTGGAGGAGCTGGTGCGGATCGTCCTCGTCGATTTTCTTTCGGTTCCACGAGGATCTGAAATGGCCCCATTCCTGATCGCTGGATCCGGGTGGGTTGTACGGACTGGCCCGGCTGGTACGTAAACTCCGGCTGCGGAGACGGATGCACCGCTGAGCGCCCGCCGCGCTGCTGCCGTTGTTGCTGCCGCCGTTAACGTTAGGTCTGCTGCTCGCGAGACCGTGTAGACGTGACATCGCCTTCTGGCTGGAGCTATTGTTGTGAAGCTGCAGCGCCTCGCCGATTTTCGACACGAGCGCGTCTACTTCCTTAGAATCCACCGTTACTGACTGTTCCAAAAATATATAGTTCTCCTTTCGACAGGGCATTTTTAATATAGCTTCAGATAACAAATATCCAGTCGTGATGGTTGTTTTTATTCAAATAGATGGGACCGTTTAGCCGGCGTCCGCCACGCTGCCCGACAGAAACAGCTAAAGGGTTGATTTGTAAACAAAGGCTGACGCAGAATCCGGCACGTACCATTTCTGAGCGAGAGGGGCGCATGCTCGGTCGCTTTAAAATGTAATCAGAAAGTTGGAGCTATATTTTATACGTATCAGCTGCTACATAAATTACATTGTCCGCTCCGTTTAACATTTATAGTTATTTTGGCTCCGCCAATACGTCTCCGTAGATATCTGTATTATCAATCATAACATTACATAACTGTCCCGAGTGGATAAAAACGATGTACTCCGCCACATGTGTGAACTCTATGCACCCAAATGCTGTTGCAACTCAATGTGAGATTACTAGATGTACTTGATTTCTAAGAAGATGCTGAATTATATACACGGTCATCAAATCAGTATCGTAGCTACTTGATAACTTAATTTCCATTTTTGGAAAGGAGGATCTGTTCGTTTTGTGTGGTTTGTGGTAGGCGATTATTGTGCAAGTAATCAGGGGAATGTTAACATACAGTTGTAGACACATTAATAGCCTATAGAATTAACATGACAAATAAGTTTAACTAAAAGATGTAGGCAGGGACGTCGTACAAGAGTCAAGATTTTTCATGGTACTGGTGGTAGTTGTTTTATATATGACATCTGGCTGCAAAGAGCATATTTCTTCATCATTGATTACTATTATGCATATATTGTATATATATATATATGTAGCTATTAAGTAAGGACTTTACAGTGTGCTATGGGTGTGTTTGCATAATATTTGCGATCATGCCAGTATTAAAGGTGTGTTCTGTCTTTATGGAACTGTGTCAAAAATCTCACTAAATCACCGGATTTATTCAGATTTGCAACAGTGACTCATTACAGCAGTTAGCTGAGCTGCAGCAGTTTGTTTGTTGAATCATCCTCACAGATTAAAGGAATAGTTCACCCTTAAAATGAATATTCTTCATTATTTACTTAATGTTTGGTCCATATTACTCATGTGCTTTGTGTGAAAAACAGGCCAAAATTTATTTATTTTATTATTATTTATTATGCTACTCTTGACACTAACGCTCCTTGAATGAATCATTCTTTTAGGTTAGATGTTTTCAATGAGTTAGTTGATCAAGTTTACAAAACCGGTTGATTCAAAAGGCAAAATGCAGTGCATGAGTCGTGTGGATTACGGTTATGCTACTTTCACAATGTTTTTATGTCCTTGAAATCAGAACCTGTTTATTGTAATTGCATGAAACACTTATGAGTGAAAAAATAATTTTGAAGTGAATTATTCCTGTAACATTCTTAACCATGCCAAAATGTAAATAGTATTTATTTAATGTCTGCTCTGTCACTTTCTGTTCTATTTCTCAATTGTCCATCTGACCACGTCCTCTTTCAGAGGAAGAGGCCTCTGAGTTCTCAGAAACTTAGAAACGGCTATGTTTGGATGTTCGATTGCATATGGCACCAAACCATATAATTAATGTCTAATATTTCAGCAGGTTAATAATTATGTATCCTTAGTGTGCTCTGAAACTAGATTTTTGGTCATTCATCCCAAACCATTTTGTTTGGTCACCGCACTGAATATAGCTCAAGGCTGCTTACATTTCTTACCAGCTGTGGCACAAGCATCTTTCAGTGAGTAGGGTTTCATTCATGACATAAATTGCAATGTTTACATTAAGTATTAATCTGATAATGTATGCTGACAGTTTGCAGAAAAAGAAAAAACATACATGAATATCATATTTCTTAACTTACACAATCAGTTTTGGGGTCTGTATTACACAGCATAAGGGGGTGGGTAGTACAAGAAGATAAATTTGTTGATCATGGTATACAATGCCACTATTTAACTACATTGTGCATGTGATTATAATTTCAATGACTTGAGCTGGATCAGATGCATTTGCTTGTGTTTTGTTTTCATGGTAAATTAATATATATGCACGTCAGCCTGCAAGCTGTGATTCACCATTAGATTTTGTATCTGCACAGATTGCACCATCCAACATCCATAGCAGCTTTCTTTGTTTACCTCACAGCAGGAGAACAGTCTTAAGCACAGACTGAAGTATCAACACAGGCTACTGGTGTGCCGTTGCTCACTGTCTCAGTCATCAGCATGCCCACAGGGACCTTGTTTCTCAGAATTCACCTTACTGAGAACCCAGTGTGCCATGTGGTCTTTGTGATAAAAGAAGCTGAGATCATTCTTTTTTATTTAGACACTTGAGTAAATGTTTAATAAGTTGTCTGATCACGTGCATAAAATTCTGTCACAGATTGATTGATGCTATTAGTAGGTATACTCAGTATTTGCTTATGTTAGGGTATGTGCCATGTGGTCTTTGTGATAAAAGAAGCTGAGGTCATTCTTTTTTTATTTAGACACTTGAGTAAATGTTTAATAAGTTGTCTGATCACGTGCATAAAATTCTGTCACAGATTGATTGATGCTATTAGTAGGTATACTCAGTATTTGCTTATGTTAGGGTTAAACCTTAACCTTAAATATTGATCTTTGTTGGTGCCACAGACATGAATGTTATCTCAAATCGTGTAGTTTATTGATGAGAGATGTGCTTTTACTTTTATAAGCATCAGACTTAAATATCACCTGATGGATGATAAAACAAGTAAAAATGTTCCATAAACGTGCACTGAAGGAATAAAAACTGATTGGAATCTAAAGACCCGAATACAAGGGACTTGCTCTTTTAACTTGGGCCATGAAAAAACACCCGGCGACACCTTGGCAATATGTTTCTAATATCTTACCTACTGTATATTATCATTGTGGCAGCAACTTTTGCATGAAAAAGCACCACCCTTTTACTTCTTTCTTCAGAAAATGTCTTTTGTAATCTAAATTAAGTGCTTCTATATACATGTTTATTAAAAAAAAAACGCAAGCAGCTGCAAAGGATCTCTTATCTGCTTTAATAGAATAATATGTATACAATGTGTACTGTTCAAATGATATTTATTGTGAAAAGTGCTGTTTGAATTGAATCAAACGTTCATTAAAAATTCTATGTTTTTATAACAGTATAAAAATCAAATGATTATTTTACAAAAAAATCACTCTTTTTATTCAATGTAAATGGGTCTTATCAAAATATAGCTTTTGCTTTTATATTTTAAGAAGGAGACCCTCATAAGAGGATCTTGTCATCTTTAGAGGGCATTGACATCAAAAACCCGTGTACATCTAGCCTACATAAAAGATTTGAATGGAGAGGTAATGGTCCGTAATCTCGTACACCTTATGCAATGCTATCGTCAAAGTTGTAAAACTTGTTCTGTCGCTTTTGGACTCTCTTAGATTAGTTTCTCAGAAAGGAAGAACAGGCCTGTTTCTTTTTGGACAAGTCAGTCCTTGAAGTTTACATGGGTGGGGAGCATGGGTTTTTTGTTGTGGCGAGGCCAATAAACAGAAAAACTTAACACAGACCCATGATGTGAGGAAGGAAGAGCTCTGTCTGTTTCAAGGATTCACGAGGCCTTGTTTCAGATGAAGGGTCAAGGGATTCTGGGTATTTCTAAGTGTTCTGCTAGCTTTGTTTTTTAAATGGAAGCATACAACAAATCAGGGCCAAGTAACCAAGGAGATAATCCATAAGCAAGTGAATGCGTATACACGGCAAGTGAGAGACAGAGAGCCTCTCCTTGCTGATTTACTGCCCTGTCCTTTATATAGCTGTAAGCGAGAAGCTTTATTGCTTATTTCTTCCTGTTTAAATGCTATCTACACTCTAATATACTTCTTGATACAGAAATAAATGTATGAATGTTAATAGTTTATTATTTTTAAAGTGGCAACATGCTTATTTGCATCAGGCCACATGAAAAATGTTAAGTGCAGAGTTAAAAAACATTGATAAAGGTTCCAAAAGGTGGGTTTAATAGCCATAGAAGAACTATTTTAGATCCGTTCAGTGAACATTCATAAAATAACCTTTTTGTCTTCATGTAGGCTAATGAATGTTTTTTTAATAATATAAAGAATCTTTTTCCACTATACAGAACCTTGCATTGGGCATTAAAGGTCCTTAATGGAACCGTTGATGCCAATAACTTTGTTTTAAAATTTTTGGTTCCCAAAATAACCTTTCAGTGAAAAATTCGTAAAGTAAGCAATTTTTCTTAGTTTGAAAAATATTTTCTTATAGTCTAAAGAACCCCTTTCCACTATAAAGAACCTTTGGAGCATTGGAAAGGTTCTATGGATGTTGAAGGTTCTTACAGATAGCAATGTTCCACATGCCATAACTACACCATTTGGAGGCCCAAAAGTATCTTTTTACATTAACTGCCATGAGCAAAGTTGGCAGATTTCAAATGACATACTTCCTTGGAGTCCTGCCCCAACTTAACAGTTGCTTTTAAGATAAATGCTAACAGCTAACTCTCTTGAAGTATTAAAGGCCTCCACATATGCAGTTCCTCTGCCAGGTTGCATTTGCCTGACTCATCGTACCTGTGTGAATTGTGGGGGTGGATGAATGGTAGTTGCATGAACGCAAACAATTCTGACTTTGGACAAAACACTCAATTAGATGTGTTCCAGAAACTCCTCCTGTACTATCAAAGGAGTGTTACTGTAGCTGGCTGGTGTCGACCTCCTCAGACGAGTCTACTCAGCTCTCAGTTACAGCCGCTGACTGCACTCAGATGGGGGTTGGGCTGTACTGGATTAGCCACAGACTTTTCTTGCTCAAGGGACAATAGTAAATCTTATACAGTCTAACTTTAGAGAGGCTCATCCTGATCAGAGCGTGTGATTACAGTGGGGACAGTACTGGAAAGCTGAGAGTCATCACTATTAGTTCAAGCTTTTATGCTGTGCACTTCTTGATTATATCAGTTTATTAGGCTACTTGAAATAGAAAATTTTGATGACAGAAATAGTGAGACAGTGACCAGTTTTACACTACCATTTAAAGGTTTGGGGTCAGTTTCATTTTTTAAAGAAATTAATACTTTTTCAAGAAAAATAATGTTTCTTGAGCACCAAATCAGCATATTAGAATGATTTAGGATTACATTACATTTTAAAATATTTTACAATAGAAAAATTGTAAAATTTGTATGGCAGTACATGCACATTGTATTCAGATCAAGGTGA